CAGATGAACATGACATATCCCATTGTGTCATTGTTTATTTAAAGGGGTAGTTCACCTAAACATGAAAATTCTGTTATCATTTACTCAATCTTCAGTTGTCGCAAACCTGTTTTTTTTTCTTTTCTTTTTTTTTGTTGAACACAAAATATGTTAATTTGAAAAATAGTGTTAGTTTTCTTACTATGAAAGTCAATTGCAACAGGTTTTTACATTCTTCAAAATATCTTCTTTTGTGTTTAACAGAAGAAAGAAACTCATAAAGGTTTGGAATCACTTGCGGGAGGTTAAGAAAGTTTTTGGGTGAACTACCCCTTCAAAAAAAATAAAACCAAGACAGAAAAAACACGGGTGAGAATACTAGAGAGAGAGTTTTAATTCTATTGCCATTTCAGCTTCTATGGCTATGTCATGGCAAAAAAAGAAAAAAAAATTACAATATTTAAATAATTTTTTTTTTTTACATTTTATAGATAACACTTTTTTATAATTATAAAAATTTCATAATAATTAAAAATCATTAACAGCAATAAATAATACCCAAGGTAAAATACATAAATAATAATAATAAAAATGATAATAAAATAAGAATCTAAAACAGTTTTTTTAAGGTTTCCTTTTGATAACAATTCTACAATTTTAGAAGGATTCACATTTAAAAACAATTCACTTAAAGTCTCTCCAGATAAAAATTGTTGTCTGATAACATTAAAAATAGGGCATTCCACAAGAATATGTTTTACAGTTTGTTTTTTGTTGCAATATAGACATTTTGGGGGTTCTTCTCCCTTGAGTAAATGTTCATGTGTGAGTCTCATGTGTCGAATGCAGCATCTTCTAAACACAATCTCATCGTGTCTCGACTTACAAATTAGATTTTTTTCCTATTTCTTGCTGAATATCAAAAAGTTTATTTTCTGGGCACTGACTCCATTCTGTTTGCCATTTGTTTATGATATAGCCTTTTATTAGTGGCTTTAAATTGGAAGGTGGGATTTTCCACTCCTTTAGCTTTCCTGCTAGAGCTGTTTTGGCGGCTTTGTTGGCTTGTTCATTTCCAAATAGTCCAGCATGTCCTGGGATCCAGCAAAAGACTATTATAAAACCTTCTCTGTAGTTCGTTCACTTTGATAAAAATGTCAATAAGAATGGGATGCTCCAGTTTAAAAGAGTTCAATGTCTGTAGACAAGATTTTGAGTCTGAAAAAATAATAAAATTGTGTTCTTCAGCATTTTCAACGTGTTCCAGTGCTAAAAGGAGAGCTTCAGCTGTAAAAATTGAGCTTTGATCTGAAATGCGAATGCCGTGGTGTGATTGACCCTGAAATTGCTGCAGAAAAATGACTGTCCTTTTTTGATCCATCTGTGTATATATTGGTTTATGAGTAGGGTAATTGTCTTATGTCAGCAACTGCTTTTTGATACGTATGTGGAAAAGTGGTGAGAATATTAGGACACCTTATGATTCAGATGCAGTAGATCCACTTTTAGCAGTCATTACTCAAAGTCGTCATTTTCTCTGATCATTCCGGATGAGTCTTGGATTTCTATTTATTTTTTGCACAGTTCTGTGATGATCTGCTAATGAAGCATTTTATTAGGAGTGCCTAACTTATTTTTTACTTATTTCTGAGGTTGTATTTTTAAAAATTCTGAGGTTGCATTTTTAAAAAATATTGACCTATATATATATATATATATATATATATATATATATATATATATATATATATATATATATATATATATATATATATATATATATAGTATTTTGGTGTTATACAGGGTGGAATCTGAATATGATCCACATGCAGAAATAAAGATAAAGGATCTCTCACTGGGGTTGTACATATTCAGATACAGAAACTGTACATTTTAGATAATACTATCCAGTGTTGGGAAAAGTTACTTTTGGAAGTAATGCATTACAATACTGAGTTACTCCCCCAAAAATTAACAGGTTGCATTACTTGGTTATTTTTTTTATGGTTTGCAATCTTAATTTCTGTCTATTACTGCGGGGAGCATATTCTCTTATGGAGTGCGCGATTCAATGTACCACATTCATTTTAATTCAGAAATGTATTTTTTTACACTAATTACACTAAAAAATAACTTGCATTACATTCATTAAAGAGTAACTTCAATATTATTACTTAATTATTTTAAGTAATGTGATACTTGACTGGTTACTTAAGAAATGTAATATGACATAACTACTTGTTACCTCCAACACTGCTAATATTTACACTGTGCACTAGAGCTGCACAATATATCATTTCAGCGTTGATATCGCAATGCGTGCATTCACAATAGTCACATCGCAGGATCAGCAATGCTAAGCTGGGATTATTTTAGTTTATTTAATGAAGATTTCTAGATTATTTAATTACTGTAACAAAATATCTGACTTTGGTTTGACTCTCCAGTTATGGGGCGAATGTCTTCAACACAAAGATCGTCATTTCTAATTTACCATAACATTCTTTTGTTTGTTTTATTGCTGAGCTACAAATAAAGCAAATTGAAATGAAGAATTTCAATTATCATTCATTTATTTTCTTGTCGGCTTAGTCCCTTTATTAATCCGGGGTACCACAGCGGAATGAACCGCCAATTTATCCAGCACATTTTTACGCAGCGGATGCCCTTCCAGCCGCAACCCATCTCTGGGAAAAGAAAAGTTTCAATTAGATGTTGTAAATTAATCAGATTTTTAAAAACCGTCACTCAATGAATAGAGCAGAAAAAATTGGTGAGCAAATCAAGGCAAAAACGAGTGTAGTTTAATTATAAACTAGATTTTAAGTTTTTATTTTTACTGAAAAAAGTTAATAATAAAATGTGAAAATACACTGTATTAGTTAATATAAAAGCAATGTTTTTGAGTCATTGTTAAATATTAAAAAAATACATTTATATTTAGGAAACTACATTTACCTATAATGCCCACTAGCCTCAATCCACTTTGCTTTTTGACGCTTCATAAGAAAAAGTTTGCGCATGCCACCCCCTGATCTCAATTAATTTCATTCAAAATAGAGCCATTCAAGCATCTGCTGAAATTGTATTCATATTGCAATATTTATTTCAAAGAAAAAAAATTATCGCAATGTCAAATTTTTCCAATATGCAGCCCTTTGTTCTGATGTACCTTTAAAGTAATATGGACCCTTCAGTTACAAATGTGTACCTTTTGAAAAGGCACCACCTAGGTGAATAATATTACTTATCATGGCATATAAAGCACATAAAGCCACATAGTGTCTGGTAACATTACCTTATTGTGTTCACCACCACAACACAATATATCAAGGCTTGTTTATAGAGGTACAGTGAAAACATAGTAATGGAAAAAACAAAGAAAGCCACTCATTTAAAAACATGATTGTTGTCAAATATGCTCAAATGAACTCATTATAGGCCTCTCTAACCTCCATATTAAGAGAGCAGAGGTCGGCCTTGCAGCAGATAAACCCCTGAACCGCACTTACAAGCATTTAAAAGGGGCCACTTCACAGAAATCCGAGACCCTGCTTTCAAAACTTCATCCAATAGCCTTAGAAGATAATTGATGACATGCTTTTTCAGAAATAATCCACTTATGGCCCCACATGTGACTCTCGACATCACACTCGCACACACTTGTGGAGCGATGCAATGTAAGAACATATTGTGCCCCTGAAAGGCTCTCGATATCGCAGGATTACATTTAAGATCCTTCAGCACTAAATCGGACTAGGTGGGAAACATTTAGGCCTATTAAAAAGGGCTCACAATAAGCCCGCAGATCATCATTTGCGACTAGGATATTCGGTAAGGCAATTTGGAGTCATGTTGGCGATCGTTAAAAACATCTGCTGTAGATCCACAATGGCTTTTGTTCCTCGGAACGGCAACAAAGACATGCGCCAGCGGCACGCGACGGCTCGCTGTCACCTGGAGACCGCACGAGCCAAACATGGGAGTTCAGACACTTCCAGGAGTCGGCTCGTTCGAACAACTCGCTCAAAGAACCGATTCTAGGAACAAATTCAGTTCAGTTATTTGAGTAACAACACGGTCCGTTTACCTTATTTTCTATGTGTTATGATAAAAACTGTCTAGCGGAAGTCGAAAACATGTATTTGTCTAACACTTTGAGGTAAGTTAAAAGTAACTTGTAGTCAGCCTACAATGATGACTTACTTATCACCAGTTCTTGGTTCACAGAGGGGTCGAACATGTCATTATGATAGAGGTAAAGTTGGTTTTACATCCAGATATTTAGACATTCTCCTTAATAATATAATTTCAATAAAGTATTCTTTGCTAATTGTAAATAGGGAAATCATGTTAGCAGCAAATGACTCAAAGTACAGCATTCATAGTCAATTAGATAGTGTTATTGTTTAGAAGTCATACTTGCATGCTGATTCCGATCGAATATTCAAAGTAACATGATAAACAATATAAACTGCTAAATGAACGAATGTGCGAATATAAAACCAATTTTAAAAAGGATATTGATATGGCAGAACATAAGCTACATGAAGCATTTTCATACCACTGATTATTAAAATATCCTTTGAACATTTTATTTGAAACACTTCTGAACACCTAAATGTTTTTGAGGAACCAGAAAGGTTCGTATGGCATCACTGTGAAACCTTTTTAGGTTCTTCTTTTTTCACTTTCATTTAAAAAGAGTAGCTATCTCATGAATTAGCAAATCGGTTCATCTATTCGACTCTTATGAATGAATCATTCTATGATTCATACTCGCTGGTGTGCAACAGCGTTTTGTTCTTCTTTGTATAATCAAAAACTTTCTTAACTTCCATGACAGAAACAAACATGACCGACTTAGCGCACAGTCTTTGTTAAACAAGTAAATTTGGTTGAAATGGGAAGAGTAAACACAATAAAAAACAAAAGGCTTCCTTTAAATAAACACATCTTGATTTAAACAAAGCCTATGTATAACAAAAGCAACAATAACAAACACGGTTGTTTTTACTCACAAAGCCGTATCCTCTGGATTTGCCCGTCTGTCGGTCCGTTATGACCACCGCTTCATCGATGTCGCCGAAAGTCTCGAAGTATTTGCGGAGCGACGCGTCTGTCGTGTGATACGGCAAACCGCCGACGAAGATCTTGGTGAAAGTCGTGTCTTTCTGAATACTGGGATACATTGTCTCCAACGTCCCATTCACGAACTGATGTAGAAGCATCTGTGCTCGAAATTCAGTGCAATGTAAATGGGAAATGTTATAAATAAGTATAAATAAACATAAATAACAAACGCTTCTTCAGCTAGTCTGCGGCGTTTGCGAAGGCAGCGAGGTAGATGCAGTCCTTTGGCTGGGAAACACGACTGTGGCTCCGGCTCGTCTCCTCGTGTGCAAACTCGTCCGCTAGACTAGTCCATGTCCGGAGACACAATGACGGCAGGTGAACAACTGAATGACCGCGCGCTGCTGCAGCTCATTACCCAGTGCGCCGCCGCCGCTGCTGAGAGACGCTGTGCTGTGCACTCCTCCTCCTCTGTCTGTGACGCGCTCTCAGCTTCTCCTCCTCTCCTTACCTTCTGTTCAACTGCACCTGTCTCTCTGTCTGTTTGTATATCTGCCTGTCTTTGTTTCGAGCCTATGAAATTGCTAGTATCTTAAGTTGGGCCATATTCTCTACACTTCCGCGTTATGCAGTATTGAATCTTAAAAGTAAAGTTAAATTATGTTATTATTAACTCGCCTAGGTGTTGTACAATCGTTTTGTTATTCAGACCACTGTGGCAACCACATTCTGAAAAGGTCTGGGTTGTCATAACTCAATGTTGGGTCAAATGGTACTCTTTCTCTAAAAAAAAAATATGCTGGGTTCCACATAATTCCTTTAAGTTGTCCAAACACAAATCCATTAAGATAACTTCACAAGTTTTTACAGAGTGTATCAGAGGTTGAAATTCAATACCTGTCAAGACTTTTTTTAAAGTTTCTTTCCATACATTTTAAGACCTTAAAATCACTTTAGGTTTTAACCAGAAACACTTGCGAGATTTTCCAATTACGATATATTTACTGGCTAGGCAGTGGCGCAGTAGGTAGTGCTGTCGCATCAGCAAGAAGGTTGCTGGGTTGCTGGTTCGAACCTCGGCTCAGTTGGCATTTCTGTGTGGAGTTTGCATGTTCTCCCTGCCTACGCGTGGGTTTCCTCCAGGTGCTCCGGTTTCCCCCACAGTCCAAAGACATTTTGTTTTAGGATAAATGGGCCACATTTGCCATATCTTCTCTGGGCCAATATAGGTTCACACAGCCACATTAGCCATAGCTTACTGTGCCGAATATTCGCCAAACGTGGCCCACATATGTCTTGAGATAACTGGCCCATATTTGCACCTATGTGAACCACTTTAGGTTTAGACCCAGCTAGGCAAAAATGTGGCAAACTGCGGCCCACACTTGTCCTCCATCATTTGGGCCAAAATTACCATTTTCCACATGGGACACATTAGGCTCACATTCAAATTACATTGTGCCATAAGTGCCAAATCTTTGCCTTAAATGGCCCATACATGAATTTGAATCAGGGCAAGGCAGTGGCACAGTAGGTAGTGCTGTTGCCTCACAGCAAGAAGGTCGCTGGTGCGAACCTCGGCTCAGTTGGCGTTTCAGTGTGCATGTTCTCCCTACCTTCGCGTGGGTTTCCTCCGGGTGCTCCGGTTTCCCCCACAGTCCAAAGTCATGCGGTACAGGTGAATTGGGTAGGCTAAATTGTCTGTAGTGTATGAGTGTGTGTGTGTGTGGATGTTTCCCAGAGATGGGTTGCGGCTGGAAGGGCATCCGCTGCGTAAAAACTTGCTGGATAAGTTGGCGGTTCTTTCCGCTGTGGTGACCCCGGATTAATAAAGGGACTAAGCTGACAAGAAAATGAATGAATGAATGAATATATTTACTGAATATCAATGTAAGAAACTAATCCAGCTTATACATACTTGCTGATCCCTGTCCTTAAACCACACAAATAAAGCTGAATCACAGTGGATACAGAGCTGCATTATGCTAGGCAGACGGGTGGTTGTTAAAAACTGAAAATCTTCCAGTAGACCTCCGATCTTCAAGTGGAGTTTTAGGACGAGTTGCACCTTTTGGAAAAAACTCTCCTACAGTTTACATGGAGGGATTGAAATCTATTTTGATAAATGTGGAAAATCTCTACATTTCTGCAACCCACAATGCTAGCAAACATGTAACGAGACAAAATAATAATTACGGCTATGATATTAGCAACCCCAGTCCCCCCTTTTAGCGTTTTGGTTTGGTTTATTTACTTTAGTTTTGTATTGTTTCCTTTTATGTTCTGTATTTGATATCCATTGTGTAACTTTTAAAATGTACAGAATAAGGTACAGTGACAGTTACGGGGTAAAAGTGTAACTGTTAAAAAATTTACCAAAAAAGGAATGGTTAGAGTTACAGGGTTAAATGAGTTACCTTGAAAAATATACTGAATAAGAAACAGTGACAGTTACATGGGTTAAATGGGTATTATTTATATGCATTTGTATATACTATTTAGATACTTGATTTGCAGTTTTCATTTTCATAGTAGTTTAAATTATTTTATTTATTTTCCATTACGATGCCAACCTCCGAGGACCTCAAGAACAACACATATGAATGATGATGTTTACCATAGAGGACTTCTAGAGGTATCCATAATCCTGGACCAGGCCGTGTCCTGAGCAAAACTTTGAAAATTGTACTAAATAAGGGACCGTGATAGTTACGGGGTTAAATGTGTCTTTTAACAATTTACAGAATAAGGGACAGTGATAGTTAGGAGGTTAAATGCGTAACTGAAATATGTACTGTATAAGGTAAGGTTAACATTACAGCATTAAATGTGCACAGGGATTTTGTTTTTGTCTTTAATTTAGTGTAATTTCTGTTCATTTTGTTGGCATTTTTCAAGCTGTTTTGCGACCCTGATATAAGGCTAAAATACCCATGTGGTGCTCCTCAGTCTATCAGGTGTCAGTTTGATACGTGAAGGCTGATCAATGGCTCTGCATCAAAGAGCTCAACACCAGTCTGTCGGACCCTCTCTTACTGTCATTTAAATGGACAGCGAAGCCTCATGTGGGAACATTAACACCCTGACGCTCTGCTCACAGGAACTGCAGCTCCGGCCTGAAGGCTTCTCACATCTCAACTACAAAACAGGAACAACAATTTAAAGATAGTTGCAGGAAGGACAGATATGACAGATCTTCTTGAGAGGGTGTTTTTTTGACTGTTTCTTATTAATGCATTCAGCGTTTATATGCGACTACAGTACTACTGCAAGTGGTCCTCAAATGATGATCTGATGTGTCTCTATTGCTTAATGCAAAAAAAAAAAGAAAAGAAAAGAAAAAAAATTCCAATAATTTTGTTGGGCTTATACACTTTCAGAAATAAAAGCTGTCACTGGAGTGGTGCCCTGTCAAATGGTACTAGTTAGCAAACAGGGTCAACAATGTACCCTAAAAAGTGCTGAAATATGCTTTTTAAAAGGTGTACCACCCCATTGACAGCTTTATTTCTGAAAGTGTATCTATGAAATAGCACATATGATACATTTATTCATTTTAATATAGTTATTTTAGTATATTTTAAATCCATTTGTATAATATATTTAGATACTTGATCTGATGCTTTCATTTTAATTATAGTTTAAATGATTTTATTCACCTTTATTCTTTGCTAAATTATTAACATTTAATAAAAAAATATTTCATAACTTGAATTAAATTTCAGGTTTAGGTTAAGTTATTGAAGTACTTTATTTTTAGCTGCCAAAGCAACATTACTATGTTTTTTTAAGGTTTCATTTTTTTATCCATTATGTTATTTAGTTTTTGGCCAAAATAGGTGTTGTTTTCTGGTACACTTATAGTAGGCCTATTTTAATATTTGACCAATATTTATTATTTTCAGTATAGCTTTTCTTTGAATTGTACTTTATTAATGTCATTTTAGTTTTATTTGTAAAAAGTTTCGATTAAAAATAAATTATTTGCCATTTAAAATATATATTTAGCTTTATTCTAAACAAAGTTTAATTTCATTTCAAGTAGTTTGTAAGATAGTTTTATATGCTTTTTTATATTTTCATGTAATATACAGTTAAAGAGAGAATTATTAGCACCTCCGTTTATTTTTTTCCCCAGCCTCTGTATATCGGAGTGATTTTTTCAACACATTTCTAAACATAATAGTTTTAATAAATCATTTGTAATAACTGATTTATTTTATCTTTGCATTGATGACAGTAAATAATACTTGACTAGATATTTTTCAAGACACTTCTATACAGCTCAAAGTGACATTTAAAGGCTTAACTGGGTTAATTAGGTTAACTAGGCAGGTTAGGTTAATGAGTTATTGTATAACAAGTTATTGTATAACAATGGTTTGTTCTGTAAACTATCAAAAAAAAAAAAAAAGCTTAAAGGGGCTAATAATTTTGACCTTAAAATGGTTATGAAAAAATTAAAAACTATTTTTATTCTCGCCGAAATAAAACAAATAAGACTTTCTCCAGAAGAAAAAAATATTATCAGACATACTGTGAAAATTTCCTTGCTCTGTTTAACATCATTTGGGAAAAATGTTAAAAAAAAAAAATTTGGCATGCATACATATATATATATGGCAAATCAACTGTATTCATTCATGAATTCATTTTATTTTATTAGGGGTCACCAGAGTGGAATGAACCACAAAACTTATCCAGCATTGTTTTATGCAGCGGATGCCCTTCCAGCCGCAAGTTGCAACTTAGTACTGGAAAACACCCACACACTCATTCACACATGGCCAATTTAGTTTATTCAATTTACCAATACCACAATTATTGGGGGAAACCCACGCCAACACAGAGAGAACATGCAAACTCCACACAGAAAAGCCAACTAGCCCAGTCAGGACTCAAACCAGCGACCTTCTTGCTGTGAGGCAACAGTGTTAACCACTGAGTTTGACCACAAATATTTTTAAATGAGCTTTTATTTTTACATTTCCCGTTTTATTTAAATTCTTTTTTGACAGCTTGTTTATTTTTCATTCTGAGAAAACCTTTAAAAACATTTCATTTTTAGCTTTATTTTAGTTTTTATGCTTTTAATTCAATTGTATTTAATATTTTTTTCAGTTTTATTGTAAATATGTAAGATACTTCTAGTTAGCTTTAATTTAATACAAGGTAATATAGGTATAACATATATAATAACATAGGTATTTCCGTTTTTAATATTTTTAATGTACAAAACAAAACTGTTATTTTTGTATTATATACTATTATGGTAGGTCATTTGGAATATATGCACAGCTAATGTTTTTCAGCCAATGATAAATTTGCGGTGAAAGCTTAATGTGACTATTTTTAATTTCACAAGGTCCCTTTTACAGCATCGATGTTGTAAAGTAATTCAAATACATTCAGTTAAATAGACTTAAGCATTCATTTAGCTGTTCAAGCTTAGAACAAGATGAAAGACTGTGTAACTGCT